ACGACATAGCAGAAGCAGGGATGCGTATCGAAGTTTTAAGGGTAAATGTAATGGTGAAATCTATTATGTGTGAAATATATTTAATAGGTGCGTAGAATTGCCAAAGCTGGAAGCGTGTAAATATGCCAACATAAAAAATTGAGATATACCCTCCACCACCCAATTTTTAACCTTTACAATGTTTATTTTAATTTTTCCGTTTTTCGGTTCGTAGCTCCAATGCCACTGGACCGATCTTCAAAAACTACAAAGCCTTTTTGTCCTTGGTACAGTAGTAAGCTTGAGTAAAAATTTCATTCAAATCCGAGCGGCACTTTCCAACTTATAGACGGGCCCAAGGATTAGCCGACAGACTGACCGACGGAAATGAATGAGTTGGTTTTTCGTGATTTGAATGTCATATAATATCCAAAAAACATCTCATTAACGAGATTTTTTACAATACTTAATTTTTTGTCAGTATGCGCGGGAAGTAACAATGAGGTTCCTGAAATATCATATTTTCAAGTAATTTCGAGTTTATCACGGCTAAAACTGATTAGAATAAGCCGTTTGGAGCCAAAAGATTTAACTTTATCTTTTATTGGGACGTTGAAGGAGAAAGTTGTTTCAACCAAGTCAAATTTTGGTATTATCACCAGAGTCGCGTACGACAAGGTTAGGCTGAGGAGTTGATTTGTCTTATTTCAGTGTTATTTTTGCCACAGAAAGTGAACTCAGTGCGTTATTGTCCCAAAATTGACAAGAAGAGACTACAACCTCGGCATGGGGATTCGATCCCTAACTTCTGGGGCTGAAAGAGGGGACATTTCAACTATGCCCAAAAGAGGGAGCATCAGGATCGAAGTTTGTTGGTAATATACACTTAAATCGGTAGCAAGTATTGACTATTAGAATATTTTCTCACCTTATCATGTTTCTTGAGAATCTTCCTAAAGCCAGTATAATTCAACGTCTGGTAATTCTGCAGCAAAATAAGGCTGAGATAGAACTCACTGAATGCCAACTTCAATTCTTGCAACTTCCTCGATGGAATCTTCTTTTCGCCAACAGCGTGCTTCTTTTGTGTACCCATGTTGTTCATCAACGAATCTTTGAGTTCGCTGTATAAGTTCGCGAACTTTCTGTGCGCCTCTGCTAACTTTTCAGCGTAAAATGTGTTGATCTTTTTTAGTTCTTTGTCGCAGTATTGGAAAAACTGCTCGTCGAAGTTGGCGAAGTGACGTTGCAGGATCTCCGGCTCCACACTTTCTGCTGAAGGCGCCTCTTCCACAGCCATATAAAGCATAGCTTTCATTTCCTGGAATGATTGTTGCCATTATATACAGGATGTTTTAAAGTCGGGCATGTCGTTTGCACAGGGTATAGTTTCTATAAAACTAAGCAAACTTTTCTTGTACCACATAGAGGTCTGTAAGTTAAGTGATGAGGGTGGCAATGTAGCGTTCGATCTGCCAACACTGGACGCCCCGGACTTGGCGGGGAGATAGGGGAACATGTAATCCTCCTCCAGTAGAAGTTTGAACTCGCTCGAGCATTTGGTTGTCCATAGCAATTTTTTTTGTTAAATAGTTTTTCCTATTGTGTTCTAAAAATGAAAGGATTCTCAGGTTTTTCAGTGGTTTAAGGCATTTTCAGAAGGGAGTGAGTTGATTGACAATGAGCCACCACTGTATTCAGATGATTTTCTTATACATATCCATCACAAGCAACATAGGTTTGCTTATCTCATACAAAGGCTGTTTGTATAAACAACATCAAGGGGGGCAAAGTAGAAGGCCAGGACAGCCCAAAATAAAATTGAGGAAAAAGGAACCAGTTTTCCTGAGTTTATTTGCAATATTGAGACATATTTGTATTTTGAAGCATACCCTTCTTTTTCTGTTTTTCAAATTTTAAACCCTCTGTACTTGTAATATTTTTGTAAGAAAAAGAGAACAATCAAAATTTGGGGTTTTTCTGACTTTCACAATGATTTAACGTTTTTCTCTGAAAATTTCTGACCATTCCTGACCAATTTTCTAAAAACTCTAGAGGTAGTTCAGGAAGGATCTACGTGTCTACTCGGAAAAATATTCTTCTTCTGTTTTTTTTTGCATAATCTTAACCAAAAAGGGCCCCTTTTAACGAATTTGCATGTTGCCAGGCCCAGCATTGCATTATACAAACATTTTTTATTCAAATTTCAAAAAATTTGTTAGTTCCTTCTGCTTAGTTTTTTGGTCATTCTGAACAAAAAAGGTCCTTATTAACTGTTCTCTAAAATTGATGCTAGCCGTGTATGTCTCTTGATACTGTTTCTTTCTTTTTTCGATAATCTAGATATTCAAATAAATGAGTATCTTCAGTTGTCAGTTGATATGCTCTAAAAATTTTCCTGGTTGCGCGAGCGGTCTAGTCCGTCCCTGTGTAACTAAATACTATTTAATCATTGCTTCAAGATTTTTCAAAAAAGGGGTCACTTCATGGTAACTTTTAGCCTATCATGTTTGTTACACTGACAGACTGATGTCAACATGAGAGGAACAATCACATGAGACTGACAGAGAGTTAACCTAATAAAATAAAATGGTTTTTCAAAGATTGGAAACATCTTTGGTTTGAGATACATCTCTTGTCATAATGAAGAAGCAGTACTCACCTCGTAATTTATGTATTGTTTCCTCCATTCTGGTGTAATATGAGCAGCTAAATGTTCTGCGAATTTCATATTTTTTTCAGCTACTTTTTCTTAACGCTGGTCGAAAACAGCATCTAAATGTTATTGATAGTAGATGCAGTCATTCCACTTCAATTAAATCACCTTCAAAAGGTGCCTATTATCTTCATAGAGATATCAAATATTTTGTTTCAACTGATCACTACGTTTGCACAACTAATAACGTACACACGTAAAATAAGAAAGATTATCCTTGTTTATACTTCAAATATTAGAGCTCATATCCATTATAATTGTGTGCACTGTATGGAAATTGTATATGCACAATAAATTAGTGTAGTTTAAAACGATAAGACAAAAAAGTGTCTACTAAAAATAAAAATGTTTCATTTGGAGCTGTCAACATTTGCAACCAGTCTTACGAAGTTGCAATACTGGTTACATATTCAAGGCCATAAATGGTATTAATTTTCTGACGTACTATTATTTCTTAATGTTATTATAATTATCATTATATTGTAATAATTTATAGTACTACAATAGTGATGAGTCAAAAAGTTCTTGCTAAACAAAAATAAGGAATCCAATTTTTGTTAGACAAGGATGTTGAAGATATTGAAGAAGCAGTGCAGTAGCAGCTACTAGTGCAGTGCGGGTGTGGCAACAGTGTAAGATTTACGTAACCGGTTGAAGTTCTGTTGAGTGTTGAGTTAAGCTGCTCACATTTTTTAAAAAAGATTCAATTTTAGATCAAAACTGTAGAAAATGAGTGCTTGGAGAGCAGCAGGTCTCAAGTAAGTACAACTCACTAATATTCTCTTGCTTCCCCGCATCATATTAGAATAGGTTATGTTCGAAGCTCTATATCTCCTTATCAGCCTCTTATCGATTTTTTTTGTATTCATGTTGATATTTTCTGGTACTCAGCTACATCAACTATTCCAATATTGCCGCTAAAATGTTGAGGCAAGCCTTAAAATCTGACATCAGGGCAGAGGCAATGAAGCGAGCTGATACCCACATTAAAGTCACAAAGTGGGAGAATGGAAAGCCCATCAGTAAGTACTACCTTTTCTTCCTTATAAATTATTGGTATCATTGCCAGCATTAACGTATTACGTTAATTGAAGGCCTAAAGAGTAGCACCCCTTTTTTTAAGTAGTATAGATATAATTACTTTTGGTCCTTGTATGTCCCAAAAATATGGCGAATACAACTATCAATTAGATACCTATTATCAGACAGAAAACTTCATTTAATAGAGAGAATATAATAGAGTTTAAAAAGATATTATCCTGCATCTCCTAAACTATTCCTTTTCTAAGATATACATATTTTGAATGTACCATATAAATCAATTATGGTTGAGGTCCGCCAAGTCTCAATGTGTACTGGAGAGAAGCATGCAGTATATATGTTAGAAAGAGTGCCTGTGATCTTCCTATCTATCATTGCCAGGTAAGATCATGATCACTTGTTCACACTTTTTCTAGAATGTGTGTTGCATTCTTCCCTCTCTTAGACATTGAAACCCAACTGATCTCAACCATAATTGATTCGCACAGTATACAGAAGCAATATTTGCTTATATATAAGCCAAAGATATCACATGTTACATAATATATATATATATATATATATATATATATATAATTAGAGGTGTCAAATTAAATTGATATAAATTTTATACAAGTATTACAGAATTAGTTTGAAATTCAAGGCTTCCACAATATGAATAACTAAATAAATATTTGAATTAAAAAATAATTATGAAGCGTCAGCTTATACATTTTTGTCAGGTCCATAATTATTATATCAAGTGTATGAGGCCCTTGAATGGGTTAAACATTTATATTTTCTTTGTAATATGACCAAATATTAAAATCACATATTCATTGAGCTTTGATGTTACAGATGCTCGTGATTAAGTAAGTTATTGGTTTCTATTGTGATATTTGGTTTTGTGTACTTTATAACAATATATGTAGTTCACTGCAGTTTAAGTATACCCATCCTTACACAAAGACAACCAGGACAGCTGTGAACATATTTTCTAAACTCAACTTTTTGAAATTGCATCCTATGTTTGTGGTGCTTTGCTAAACATAACTGACATAACCTACCTCTTTGTGTGAATATCTGATGACTTTATTTATGTTCTGCTAACTGTTCCAATAACACTAACAATGTGTGTTACTATTGAAGATGTAATTTACTATATCAGCATACTAATACTTTGACTTTCTTTACAGAAGAATCAACCTGGTAACCTTCAATAGTATAAGTTTCAAATGATATAGCTTTATGGTCATAAAATGTGTCTGTGGTCAATAAATTGTTATTAATTTGTTCAAAATGTATTTTATTGATTTTAACCACCAGATTACAAAATATGTTTAGATCCTGCTATGACAGATGCTTTAGATTATCTATATTCAACCATATTATTGAATTATTACATTGGCCAAAACAAGATATATCCAGTTTTTCACAATAAATGTTGTTGAGGATCAGTCAGAATTTTAGGACCTTCTCCAATTTTTGTATGGATGATATATTTGAGACATCCTGGCTCTTGAACAGGGATGTTCAGTGCCATTTTTAAATCCTGAAAGCAAATGGATATAATTAAAACTTGGCTAAAACCTGGTAAAGATAAAGTGAATAATCGAATTAAAGATCTAAGGTCATAATGCAAATTAAGAGAAAGTAAACTTTCCACCCCACATTGACATTCCATAGCAGATTAATATTTCTTACCTGTGACAACTGATTGGATGACAGAGGCAAACCCTTATAATACTCTGCAGTATCTTGAGGTGGGAAAAGATAATTTATAACTGACATGAACTCGTCTACACTCGAATCTAATAAGTACAAGACTGCATTGGGGCCTGCATCATATGTATATGCCACCTGAAAAAGAGTTAAAATCAATTCTATAACAATATATTTTATATTTAATGTAAATTCTGTCAAATGAATGCATACAATGTTAAAGCTGCTTGATATATAGAAGTGACATATAAATCCGAACACCCAGTTTAAATGGTTTTATTTTAATAAAAGTTGGTGAATGTATTTATCTTACTGTAAATAACAAGTGAAAAAATTTTCAGCCTTATCAGTTGGACATTCCGGTTTTTATACTGCTTTTTTTAATTCACTAACGTTCTAAAAATGAATATTTCAGCCGCAACGTTGGCGGATTTTGGATCTTGACATCCTTTACGATCGGTTACGATGCCTAGAGTACGGAGACCTGTACGATTTCGTCAACTTAGTGAGTTTGATAGGGGCCGTATAGTGGGACTTCGGGAAGCTGGACTTTCTTTTCGGGCAATTGCAGTTAGAGTGCAAAGAAGTGTAGACACTGTGGTTAGGTGTTGTCAGGCATGACTTCGAGAAGGCCGTACGCAAAGAGCAAGGGGCACTGGACGCCGCCGTAGAACAACAGACCGTGAAGATCGCCGCCTAAGATTATTGGCCTTAAGGGACCGTTTCTCCACTACCAGGTCCATTGCAAATAAATGGTTTGCAGAACACGGAAGACCTATTGGCATGCGAAGTGTTTACCGACGAATGAGAAGTTTTGGCTTGTTTTCATACCGACCACACTGGGTCCTCCCTTTAACTCGAGAACACCGACGTAATCGCCTTGAGTGGTGCAGACAACGGTCACTCTGGGATCAGGAATGGAACAGTATTGTCTTTAGTAACGAGTCTCGATTTTGTTTAGGCATGCACGATGGTCGTGCCAGGGTTAGAAGGCGACGTGGTGAAAGGAGGAATCCACAGTTTTTTGTTGAAAGACATGTTCATCACACTGTTGGAGTTATGGTTTGGGGTGCTATAGCTTATGGTTCCAGGTCACCTTTAATCTTCATCAGAGGTAACATGAACGCGCAGCGTTATATCCACGAAGTTCTAGAACCCCGTCTTTTACCCTATCTTGACACCCTGGCAGATCCAACTTTCCAACAAGATAATGCCCGACCACATGTTGCAAGAGTCACAATAGACTTCTTTCAACATAATGATGTCACATTGTTACCATGGCCACCAAGATCTCCCGACTTATCCCCAATTGAGCACGTGTGGGATATGATGGGTAGGAGATTGCTCAATTTGCAACGTCCTCCTCAGACTCTAGAAGCACTTCGAGAGGAGTTGGTGGTTGTCTGGAATGAGATACCACAGGAGGACATTGACCACCTGATCAGAAGCATGCCTAGGCGCGTTGGAGAATGCGTAGCACATCAGGGTGCATCCACACATTATTAAAGGTCAAAGGGCTTTAAAGCAGTGCAATCATTTTGAAATTTTTATCATTTACTTATTATGCTTCATTAAGTACTTATACAAAATTTTATTAAAATAAAACCATTTAAACTGGGTGTTCGGATTTATATGTCACTTAGTATATATGAACAGCAAAAGCGTATACATATTACGAATCCTAAAAAAGTAAGTTTTTTCGACATTATTTAGGTTTTCCAACAAGATTTCAACTTGAAACTAGCTGTCGTTCAGTTCATCCTCACTTGTAGCAAGCGTGGAATGAGGTATTTGCATACTAGCCTACTTAATCAACAAGTTGACATTTTATAGGTTTTTCGCATTATATAGGTTTTTTACGTAATAACCCTGAGGGTTATTTTTTTATTTTATCAGAACGCTAATTTGACAACGTCCTGTTAGAGTAGTTGCTATGGAGGCGACGTTTCTATAAGGAATGCGATGACGATGTGGAGTAAGATTTTATGATATGCCGTTCTCCCCATTCACGGCGCTATATCACGTCTGATTTGATGCAAACTCAACCAAGAACTATTTATTCATGGATATACACTTGATATCCGAATTATTCGGGGAAATGTAGAGTATCAATTTTCATCCAGTTGAACGTCCAAAATTGGCCGCTCCGCTCTATTTGGAGCCGGCGGTACTATAGAAAAAGAGCACTTGAAAAAGTGGAGTGACGACGACCTTTACAGTACGCTTGATGCTCGACTTACGCTTTTGCTGTTCATATATACTAAGTGACATATAAATCCGAACACCCAGTTTAAATGGTTTTATTTTAATAAAATTTTGTATAAGTACTTAATGAAGCATAATAAGTAAATGATAAAAATTTCAAAATGATTGCACTGCTTTAAAGCCCTTTGACCTTTAATAATGTGTGGATGTACCCTGATGTGCTACGCATTCTCCAACGCGCCTAGGCATGCTTCTGATCAGGTGGTCAATGTCCTCCTGTGGTATCTCATTCCAGGCAACCACCAACTCCTCTCGAAGTGCTTCCAGAGTCTGAGGAGGACGTTGCAAATTGAGCAATCTCCTACCCATCATATCCCATACGTGCTCAATTGGGGATAAGTCGGGAGATCTTGGTGGCCATGGTAACAATGTGACATCATTATGTTGAAAGAAGTCTATTGTGACTCTTGCAACATGTGGTCGGGCATTATCTTGTTGGAAAGTTGGATCTGCCAGGGTGTCAAGATAGGGTAAAAGATGGGGTTCTAGAACTTCGTGGATATAACGCTGCGCGTTCATGTTACCTCTGATGAAGATTAAAGGTGACCTGGAACCATAAGCTATAGCACCCCAAACCATAACTCCAACAGTGTGATGAACATGTCTTTCAACAAAAAACTGTGGATTCCTTCTTTCAGCACGTCGTCTTCTAACCCTGGCACGACCATCGTGCATGCCTAAACAAAATCGAGACTCGTCACTAAAGACAATACTGTTCCATTCCTGATCCCAGAGTGAGCGTTGTCTGTACCACTCAAGGCGATTACGTCGGTGTTCTCGAGTTAAAGGGAGGACCCAGTGTGGCCGGTATGAAAACAAGCCAAAACTTCTCATTCGTCGGTAAACACTTCGCATGCCAATAGGTCTTCCGTGTTCTGCAAACCATTCATTTGCAATGGCCCTGGTAGTGGAGAAACGGTCCCTTAAGGCCAATAATCTTAGGCGGCGATCTTCACGGTCTGTTGTTCTACGGCGGCGTCCAGTGCCCCTTGCTCTTTTCGTACGGCCTTCTCGAAGCCATGCCTGACAACACCTAACCACAGTGTCTACACTTCTTTGCACTCTAACAGCAATTGCCCGAAAAGAAAGTCCAGCTTCCCGAAGTCCCACTATACGGCCCCTATCAAACTCACTAAGTTGACGAAATCGTACAGGTCTCCGTACTCTAGGCATCGTAACCGATCGTAAAGGATGTCAAGAACCAAGATCCGCCAACGTTGATTCTTTACTGCGGCTGAAATATTTATTTTTAGAGCGTTAGTGAATTAAAAAAAAAGCAGTATAAAAACCGGAATGTCCAACTGATAAGGCTGAAAATTTTTTCACTTGTTATTTACAGTAAGATAAATACATTCACCAACTTTTATCAAAATAAAACCATTTAAACTGGGTGTTCGGATTTATATGTCACTTAGTATAATTTGCGCTATAGGAATGTCACTTTTTACTCTGTAAATTGACGCTAAGAATGCGGTGTGTCTGACGTTCGTACATAACATATGCCTACGGCACTATATTTGCTATATTTATCAAAGAGTAATTGGATGACTAAAAGTTGTTAAACATTAAACAAACCTTGATGGATATAAAATGTGGGATAAATTACAACCTCAACATGGTACGGGCGTAATTGTTTACCTTCTTTTCAAAACGTTGAAAGTTCAATTATTTACCGAAAAAACAGTGGAAGGCAAACACGGCTAATTACATCATAACTCTTTTCTCGTCGTTTACTTAACAATTAAAGTGTTTTATATATAGATCTAATTACTTGGCTAAATATAATTAGGCATATGCCTGCTTGTTTGCTACACGCGGTAAATTTTGAGAAGCTGCATCTTCAGTTTTTTTATACTCCACCTAAACACCCATGGGGTACCGTGGGGCTATAGGAAAATACAAGGGTAAAGAGGGGGACGCCACAGGGACTCTAGCGAGGGAACACGTGTGCATGCACACATTCTGGCTCCGCCTACGATATCCGTCGGGTGGTACCTCCGCGTACGACAGTCAGAAACCGTCTATCACTTTCAGTTAATGGAGGAAAACACATTTTCCGAAACTAGTAGAAACTTGACTGCGTTGAGCTAGCTAGCAAGTATTTCATATAGTTCTGGACGGATCTTTCATAACGTCATAGAAATAAGGCACGTGGACAAAATTGCATGGGGTAATGAGAAAAGCGAGAAGTAGATGCTGCTGGTAAGATTGGTCATGTCTAAGGTTATACAAAGTTTGACAGAATTGTCAGATTGAAATTAATTTTTTTCCTAACCTCACATACACTTCAAACTCGTCTTAATCTGCCAAATCCTACGAATTCAGACTAGGTAGTAGAAGTCAAGGATTTGTTTGTCTGCTTATTCTCATAGTCTGCAGTGAGGATCATAGTGCACTTGTCAGTGTAGTCATTTTTTGATTGCTCTGTCATTAAATTTGTAGTTTTAGTATTATTTTTTAAAAGTACTAGTTTTCGCAGATAATTGTGATGTTAGACGATTTCAAAATGCGCTACTTCTTAGATTATTTGCAAGGAGCGGCACAAGCCTAATGAAGATAGATGTTTCCACCAGAAAGTATAATTATGTTGATACAACGCTGCCACTTTGGCAGGCAAATGAGTAAGAATTATTCACAAAAACTACGCAATTTTGTCGACAAACAATGCAATGTAAACATATAGGCCTTCTAGTCTATTCGAATTCGTTGGTTAAATATGTATTTTCCCCATCTACTTTTGAAAGTTTGATCTTCAACCACTCTAGCGCTGCATAGTGGGAGCAAAAGAGCCACATCAATGCGATAAAGAAACAACAAGATCCTGATATTAGAATTTGAAAATGAAGCATGAAAAATCAAAACACCATCTATAATGAAACTAACATGGAAACCAGGTATTGATTTGAAAATTAAAAGAAACACTTGAAATGTCGGAACCAATTTGCTGAGATGTCACCCTTCAAATATAAATCACCATTAGTTAACCAGAGGGTCAATTTTAGAAAACGGGGGTGTTGAACAACTATGATAGTAGGCGTGCTCCTGTTACTTTTCTGGGATTTATATTATTTAACATGATAGCTTCCTGGATAATTCTCAGGAGAAAAATTGCGGAAGTCTCATCGTCGTTCATCAGTTTCATCTCTAAATACGAGTTTGGGGGAGACACTGTCATATACATTAAACTTACAACACCCTTCTACGCCGAAGGTTTAAAATAGGTGTTTCTATAGAAATTAGAGAATACTCACTTTGTTTGACGATTTGAATTCATTATAAGCGTGAACGGCATTAGCAACAGTATGGGATGTGTCATTCAAATAAACACAAGGCGGATATGTGTCTTGACATATTGCATGGATGCTATTGGATTCCTTCATAGTGATCTCAGCAAAGATTTCAAAGTCTTTTTTCTGAATAGCTTCTATGCATGCTGGAAAATAAATAGAAATATTATTGGTTTCACAAAACTGTGAGATTGATCATCAGAACATACAAAACGTAAGCAATTTATCTGCTTTTTTTAGGCAAAAATCTTTGGATTTATTAAAACCTTCAGAGGCATATGTGTACATTACCTTTGGTCATTTTTGGAACTATTTGGTTTGCTCTGTATTTAAGAAGTTCACTGGTTTCGACACTTCTCTTCATTGCATCAGTAGAACTGTACTTTTTCCTTTCATCATTCACTACTAATATTAATACTCTCATTTCTGGCCAATGAGAAGCTGGCGCAATTTGCTTTGCGATCGAGTCCCTACCATCAGGAGATGATCCTTTACACCAAAGAACCTATAATATTAAAAAAATATTTATAAAATACAGGATGTTTCCTAAACATGAGGAAAATTGTAGAGGTGACTCTAGTCTATTTTAGGTCCACGTTGTAATATTTATATGACAATTTAAAAACGCTTCGTTTTGAACAATACGTGGCAAGCAAAATTTTCGCAGAATATTTTGTGCTCGGTAAGAGCTACAAGATAACTAGCGTACCTATAGCTGGAGCGCGAGACTACAATTTCCTCGACATATACTAAACTTCTTTCAAATACGTCAAGCATTTTTTGAGTTACATCCAGCAGCTTCTTGGTGGTTGATAGTACGTGTTTAACTGCTTAACAGGAACATACAATCGTTGGATACGTCAAGAAGGACCTGGCTCAATGGTCTGCTCGATCTCCGAACTATGGGGTCGTCGAAAGTTATTAGTTTACACAACAGCAGTCGATAATCGGATAATTGCTGGATCTTACTCAGAGAGCAACAGCCCTGGTGTATTAAAACTTCAACGGACTATGGTGACAAGTGGATACCTGGAGGAAGTTTTTTCTACACGAAAGCAGCCGCGCAGGCAGAAGCCTAAATGCCAGGCCACCGCGGCTGCTATGAGGATCCCAATGCGATTTTTGTACCGTCTAAGGCTAGTAGAACTGGAAAAACCTCCTCTTGTAGAATTTTCCACAATCTCGACACCCTAGGGACAAAGGAGCGATCGTGTCGGCCAGTTCTGGATGTACGAAGTTCGACACGGTTAGTATGGGAGGAGGAAGTCAGGTAGGTCTATCTAGCATGCACATCGCGCGGCGGCATCATGTAGTAGAACTCTGAGGAGTTAAGCCCATTGATGTAGCGGTAGAAGAGAGCTAGCACGCCGCTGGCCCGCCGGTGCGAAAAGGTCCCGAGACTCCGGTTAGACAAGAGTCATCGATCAGTCGGACAGCCCTCTTCTGAACAGCATCGAGCATGGATAATGTAGTTGGGGGGGCAGTACCCCAAACGAGTGAGAAATACTCGAGGCCGTCATGTGAAGAAACGTACTTCTTAGCCCTAAACAATTAGCCTAGCTTTTCCCCAGCAGCGGCCGCTACTGACTAGATGTGTTCGTGTCAGATCAAGTCCGTGGTGATCTGGACTCCGACTAGCCGAAATGAACGCCTCTTTGGTAAAACTCAGTCATCCATCGGAACCGGATTAGCGCTAGGGCACTGCTTTATCAAGGTACAGTCACTTTTTTTCGTCAAGGTACAGTACTGTGTTCTGGAGGCACTAAACTGTACAAAATTGTTGCGTCCCCAAGCAGTGATAAACTCCAGGTGTCTCGTCATAGAGGAAGCCGCTGCTGGTCCTGCATGTAAAGTGCTGTCATCAGCAAAGTTGTGGATTGGATTAATCGTAAAGGAAAGGAGGTCGTTGAGATGTATGAGGTACATTGTGGGAGCTAAGACCGATCCCTGAAGAACACCCGCGTTGACATTGTGGGATAAAGAGGAGAACCCGTTAAGATTACGGCGGAAGTTTGCATAACAGGACAGCATGCCACAGCTAATCGAACGCTCTCGTGATATCAGAAGCAACGACATGAGCTCACCATAAGACTGGATGGGTTTACCCCAAAATTGCGAGACGTAAACTAGGAGGTCCTCTGTGGATCGCTGATGGTGTATGAAACCGTACTGCTTGAAGCTAATCAAGCCGTGACATTCGAGGTACCTACTCCAAAAGCCCGCGATTCATGCACCTCTCCATCACTTTACTTATAACAGAAAGCAGAGCGACTGCACTGTTAAATATAACTGACGACATCTTCAAAGCAACAGATTCCGGAAAAACCACCTTTCTCGTGCTCTTGGACTACTCGTACTCCACGGCATTTGATAAACTATATCACGAAATGCTGTTTGGTGTTTTACACTATATAGGGTTTTCCGAATCTGCCAGCACGCTTATGTGCCACTATTTAACTAACAGAACACAATATGTAGAAACAGATAAAGGTACGAGTATGTCCTCCAAAGATGTCATCCCACCGGGTGTTCCACAAGGCTCCATTATAGGACTTCTGATTTTTGGTATTTATACATAAACCTTTCCCAATGTCTCCGAAGTTGTCAGGTACATTTGTATGCTGACGATACTCAGCTTTATTTTCTTCCAATCCTAACGAGAAACGTGAAGCATTGGCAATTATTAATCAAGATATTGAAAGATTAGTTGTATTTTCGGAAAATCATGGTCTACAGATTAATGCAAGCGAATCACAACTCATGTTATTTGGCAGATTGAAAGACAATATTGAGCCCACTTTTCATGTCAAAATAAAAAGTGAATCTATACCTTGTTCTGCCGCTGTGAGAAATTTGGGAATACAATTTGACTCATATCTAAGATTTAAGCCTCATATTAATAAATGTATCCAGAAAGCTTATGCTTCTCTAAAAGTTAAACTTAAATATTGCTCTGTAAAGTACTAGTACTCAGCCATTTTAATTTTTTGTAACAGCGTTTATGGGTTTTGTTTAGACAAGATTGACATGGATAGAATTGAACGTATACAGAAGTCCTGCCTACGATTTATTTATGGTATACGTAAGTAGGAGTTTTACATAAGTTGCTTGGTGCAAACTGGTTGAATATGCGGGGTCGATGTGAGTTGCATGCATGTAATCTTTTTCACAAAATTATGTTTTTTAAGCAACCAGCATATTTATTCAATAGAATAACTTTTCGCATCGATGTACATAACTTAAATTTGCTGTTTCAGGGCTACATATCACCTCCTCCTCATCAAACTTCTCTTTTTTGTAGATCTTTCTCATACAACCTTTACCGGCTTAACAATCAAATTCCTAATGACTTTAAAATTCTGCATCCAAACCAGTTTAAAATCAAATATAAAAAATTTATTTTTGAAAAACACTTCAGCGCACATTAATGTAAATGAGGCACAAGCACCAAACTAATGAAAAAGAATTTTTTTGTACTATAACTCTATTATTCTAAATCTATTATTCGAGGCTTTCTAAGGTAGATATATATGTATATATGTGTATGTATGTTGTATGTGTGTGTATATGTACATATATGAATGTGTAATAGGTAAAGGGCTGAACTTGTATCATTTTTAAATGCCTTCAGCCCTTTTTTGTAACATATCTCATTTAAATGTATTTTGCTACTATTTTCATTTAACGGTATGTTGCAAATAAACATTATTATTATTATATAGGCCTGTAGTTGTAAGGGCCGGTCTTAGGTCTTTTTTTTAGATAGGTTGGACATGAGCAAATCTCTAGTTTTCTGGGAAGGTGCCGGATTCGTAAGATATTTGGAAGAGACGCAAAAGAATCGGAGCAAACTCCGCTTCACACCTCTTCATTAAAACGGCAGGAATCAAGTCCGCACCAGAAGCTTTGTTGCTGTCGAGCGACAAGAGCACTCGTCTTTCGGTTTTATTCATGAATGTTACTTACCGCATAGTGTAGGGAACCCTTTGAAGCGACGGTATCTTAATGCCCATGGTGGAGTGGGCAGCAAAGATCTTGGCAAGCACTGCCGCCTTAGCCTTTGAGTCGGTTACAATCATTCCATCCTAGCACGAAAGTGCTGGAAGGCTACTATACAAGAAGTTCCTTTCAATCTGCTTGGCCAGCGTCCAGAAATACCGACTGCCATTGCGCTGCGACATTACCCTATGCCTAATTTTTATATCGTGCTGGTCGTTGGCATTGCGGTCTGATCCGTTATATGTGTTTCTGCACTCGACATCGGTTTCCGGCTTGTCGGTGCTTTACTGTGGGGTTTTGTAACACGGTTCTGTATGCCTTGATCTGCTGACGTGCAGTGTCGCACGATTTGTCGACCCAGCGTTTAGACCCTGGTTTGGGCACCTTTAATGTACGAGGGATGTATTCCTCCATCCCGACGTGGATAATTTCGGTTACCAATGAACAGACAGCCGACACGTCCGCGTCAGCAAACAAACATCTCTCCTAGTCGCAAATTTCAAGGTTCCCTCGAGTCCACCCTCCACCCGAACATTCAGAGAATGGAGTGAGTTTACGTCTAGAATTCTTAGTACTCAATGGATCCATCATCATTCATTTTATTTTGAACAGTCTAGGTACAATAAGACGCTAATGAAACTATTTTCCAAAATGTTGTTCGCCTTAGAAACGAAGCGATTTTTTAAAACCTCAAACGACAAAATAGTCTATGAATATTGCCCCAGATTTTGGAAACACCTTGTATAAAATACCTTATGATGAGTGTAATTTTTTCACTTGTGTACTGTAACAATGAAGGTCTTGTAGTTTTGCAAACTGTACCTTTTTGGAAACAGTTTTTTAACATATCCACCACCTCTCTTTTTATCATACAAATAGTTATCTATATGATAAAATAAAATACAAGACGTTACCATGCAATAAAGTAAATTTTGCCAGATTAATCGTTTCGGTATATTGGCTTGGCAGAGTAATCCTAGCGTGACATAACAAACTTTTCGGTGCCATTTTTCAATATGGTGACATGAGCGACAAGGATAGGATGATAGTATTTAAATCTATATAGGTGCCAATTATCAAGACAATATGAGTAGAAGTAGACATACCCATCCACCATACATGCTCCTACAAGCACTCCCAGATCCCATCCTAGCTATGAAGGAAACATTATCTTCTATCTCGTACAGCTTGGCCAAAGCTGAAACTAGACAAGCATATCCGGCTGCCGATGATGCCAGACCTGCCGCTGTCGGGAAGTTGTTCTCAGATTTGATGGAAACTTCCAGTTCAGATGAGGTAGGGATTTGCTAGCTAGGCGCTTTACTAAAAACAGAAGGTGTGTAGAACTAGCGGAGTTGGAAGAGTGTAAATACGAGTATACTATCGCTACACAATGGGACTTGACGAATAAGGGAGATAATCGGACTTTTCACTTTTTGGAACCTCGCCCAGTTAGGCTTGTTGAGAGTAAGAGGACGTGCCCTTTTCCCCATTTTTTTTATGTTTACCTAGGTGCTTTGAAACTGCTTTATTATATCGTTTTTTAATTTAAAAATCTCATTCGTATTAGAAGATACAATTTTGCTTACGTCAAATTAGGGGTCTTCGAAGCACGCATGAAACAATTTTTTTGCGATAATTTTGGTGGGAAATTCAATTTTTCAATCAATCATACTCCGACAACTTATATCCCAAAAAGAAAGCCTCGAAGCCCATAGGGTATTACAAAGTTATTAAAAAACAAACTGTGGAAGATTTTAGTCGCATAGCTAATTAGCATTGCTAATTTCCTTCCGTGCGTGTCTCTTAAGCATCATTACTAATTGCTTAATATTTTAACAAAAACGCGCATTGTCATAATTGTAATTGTTATTCAAAATCAAGCGACATTTTTTAATGAGTTCACCAACCTTCCTGTAACAGTTAGTTAATCTTTTGTTGTTGAAGCTTTGTTTCTTTTCCGTTCAGCCAGAATGTGTTTTCTTGTAATTCCGGGCTCGCTATTATTGTTGTTTTTGCGCACATCTGAAAGACAATAGTGAATAAAGGAATTACGCTGTTGCTTACGATACTCACGAAGTCCATGGAAAGTGTGCCACTAAGCGAGTCATTGATCGGAATTATCAAGTTTTCGTCTGATTTTCCCCCTAGAATAAAAAATAAAACAAAGGTCAAACTCGCGTTGTTTGTTTGATACAAAGCATTAAAAAATGCATGAAACATTAATTCAGAACGGCAAACGTTTCCATTACAAGATATAGTCATACAATTTCGATTAATCATCTTAGGGTTTAAATAATGAGAACGGGTGAGCATTTTTGTTTTTAGGCATTTGAAGCCCATAGCGTTCGGACGGATTAGATAATACGTAAATACGTTAATCAATGATTCCAGTAATGTTAAGTGGGTATACGTTGCTAGACGCAATTTTATTACTCTACGAATTTGTATGGTACATGTTCATGATTTTTATGTTGAAATATGGCGAATTTCCAACAAAACTGAAGTGTTCTACCATAACTCCTGTCTCTAAAGTTAAGAATTCTGAGTTGTACACCAATATGCGGCCATTAAATGTTCTGCCAGATGTTGAAAAAGTTTTTGAAGAAATTATTTACGGACAGCTCATTGAATTTATTGAGCGAAATAACATTTTAACAAAATTTCAAGCTGGATTTAGGAAGAAAC